TGGATGAAGACGATGATGAAGAATAAGAGATGGCCAAGCTCTTCAAAAGATTCAAGAGATTCATGATTTCGAAGGAAGTGAAGCATGAATCAAGCAAGAAGAAGAGTCATCCAGTGTGCTTTAATTATCTATGAACGGGGTATGTTAAGTATAAATGTCCCCTTCTAAAGAAGAAGCAATCAAGCAAGAAAAAGGCATTTGTAGCTGCTTGAAGTGATGAAGATGACTCTAATGATGAAGATGAAGTAGCTAACCTATGTCTCATGGCCATCGGAGAAGATTCAATGGTAACTTTTAACTCAAATGAATTTGATTCTTATTCTTTTGATGAGTTACAAGTTTATAATGAGTTGTATTTGGAGTTTGAGAATTCCAAATATAAGAAATTAATTTCAAATTTTAAAATTGAAAATGATTTGATTTTGGAAGCAAAAGTTGATTTTGAAAAACAAAATGAATCTTTGAAAAATGATTTGGAGCTTTCAAAAGTCAAAATCAATGATTTAGAAAAAGAAAATTTTGATTTGAAAGTTAAGCTTGAGAGCTTAACAAAAGAAAAAGAATTAATTTCTAAAAACTACTCATTATGTTTAAAAATGTAAAAATACTCACATTTCCATTTTCATGGTCATATGAAACATACTTGTCCTTTGAAGAAAGGAAAACAATTTGAAATTAGACAAGTATGAGTTCCTAAAGGAACAAGGGCATTGAAACTAACATCCAAAGATCCAAAGAAATTTGGATACCAAAATCTACTTAAATGTCTCTTGTAAGTGTGTGGGAGCAATGATGATGAAAGTGAAGATATTCAAATGCTCCAGCCACACTCGAAAAGGAATGGGTAACCTCTAAACTTGAGAGCTTTTTAATTTTGCATAATTGGTTGCTCATTTAGTTTTAAGCATGCATGAGTTTTGATTTTAAATAATTTTATATTTTTTATCTCATGTATGTTAAAAAGGTGTAATGATGAACACTTTAAGGATATAATGATTTTTCATAATTTTTGTCCATCATAATGAAATTTGGTCAAAATTGATTTTAAACGCAAATGATGTCTCTCTAACAATTTATATCAATTTTCAAAATGTTTTGATTTTTTAAAATTTTTTGACCTAAATTTAAAATGTTTATGCATGTAATTTAAAAATGCAAATGATATCTCTATAACAATTGATATCAAAATTTTCAAATACATAACATTTTTTGAAAGCTTTATGCATATGCACCTAATTTCAACATTTGGTATTGCATAAAGTATTTTAGACTTGGATGTATTGAATTTCATGTGCTTTCTTTGTTGAAATTCAATTTTGCTTAAGTGTCAAGCCTTTAAAATCAAATTTTTGTTTGGAATGCATTTTTGAGGAGGAACTTTGATTTTTCAAATGTTTTTAATGTCAAGTTTATCACTTATGCTTCAATGTTATTCTAGAACTTTAAAGTTGAATTATTTTTGATATAACAAAAAATGGGAGAAATATGGTTTTAAAAATTCAATTTCTTCATGAAAAATGGGAGCTGAACATTTTCATATTTTTTCCAACAATTGATATCTTTTTCATTAAATATTTTATTAAAGTAGAGTTTTTCCAAAAACAATTTTTCAAATGTTTGTTATATAAAAAATGAGAGATTGTTGAACTATATTTTGATATAACAATTTATGGAAAAATGTTTTTGGACTTGAATTGAATTTATTCAAAGTTTTCAAAAATAATTCAAAGTCCATTTAACTTGGAATTGACCACAAAATGTTTTTCTGGACAAGCAGTACTGATATTGTTCTTGCAGTATTGATACCTCATGAACAGTATCGATAATGTTCATATGGTACCGATACCAAAGGTAAGGGAAGTATCAATACTACCAGCGTTGCTCAAATTCCAGAATGCAAAAATGGTATCGATACCTAATGGGGTACTGATACTACTTTACATAGTAGTATTGATACCATATGCTTAGTATCGATACCTTCAGGCCCAACGGCTAGTTTTATTTAAAAATAACAAAGGAAGTACCGATACTCCATGTAGGAGTACCGATACCCTCTATACTGGGCAATTTTATTTTGTAGAGAAAAAACATCCCCAACGGCTCTAAATTACTCCCAACAGTTAGAAACGGCTACAACTTCATTCCAACATATAAATACAAGTTGAGGATACTTGAAGAAGAGTTAGAACACTTATCCAAGAAATCAAACACAATAGAAGAGCTTTTCACTCTTTCTTCCTATTCTCTTGTAAATATTTTGTTCTTGTGAGCTAAATTCTTGTAAACACCCTACTTTTTAGAGGTTATCTTTGTTTACATTTCTTTTCCTTGTAAAGGGGTTCTTGTAAATATTTTGTTCTAGCTGAGCCTTTGAAAAGCTAGAGAGTCTTGTAAATGTTATCTCTTTGTCCTTGAAAAAGAAGGAAAAATTAGTGAATTTGTTAGAAAATTCTGAGTGAGGAGCTAAGGTAGTGGAGGTAGACTTAGTTGAGAAGTCGAACCACTATAAATCGTTGTGCCAATTTTTCTATGTTTTATTCTCCTTACTCCCTAAACAAATTTTTGCCAATTCACCCCCTTGTGCAAATTTTCGATTGATCAAATTGAGATTCGAAAATCCTAACTGTTGTATTTTCCAATGCTATCAATATTATCTCGGGATCGGAATATCCAACCTCTAATTTATTTTGTTGGTGAAGTTTATAAGATTAAAATGTTGTTGGATGATAAATTGAAATCTCCTGATGAATTTGTTAGTGATATGGTTAAGAATATGAAAGAAAGTTTGATAAGCATTAGGGTGAATGTAATCTACTTATGGCTATGGGTTATGTGATGGATCCTCGTTTGAAAATGAAAGGTATTGAAGTGACTGTCTCGTATATATTTCCTTTAGAAGTTGTTCGAGATAACATTCATAAAGTTCGAGAAATGTTGTATCAACTTTATGATGTGTGTGTTAGTTTTTATTATCCTCCCACAATGGAAAAAAGTGGAGAAATTGGAATTGAAAGTACTTCACATCTTAGTGAAAAAACACTCCTTTATTTGATCTAATAAATAATGTGGTTAACAATGAAGTGTTGGCTAATGTTGAAAAGAATGAAGTTGATTTGTATCTTGAGGATGGATGTGTAATGGATAAAGGTGACCACTTTGAACCTATAAGATGGTGGAAGGATCAATCTTTGAAGTTTCGGATTTTGTCAAGGTTGGCTATTGGTGTTTTAGCAATTTTGATAACAATTGTAGCTTATGAGGCTACATTTAGTGGAGATTATTATAGAGCTTCACTATCTCTGGATACTGTGCAAATGTTGATTTGTAGTGGAGATTGGTGTCAATCTCTCCATTGAGTGAAAAGAAAGAACAAAGTAAGACTATTTAAGATTAAGCATATTAATTGATTTAGTTTTATATTATTCATGAAAAAGTAAAAATATTTATTTTAGTTTCTTATTATAAGATATTCTAATTGTTTTTATTGACATGATTACTATGTTGATCAAGCAAAGGAAATTATTCTCCCAATTTTGTAATTTGGTTATTGCAACCAACAATGAATGGAGTGAAGACATGTTGATTTCCTTATTTTTAGGTTTGATTAAGTATTGTTGAACTTTTTTTTAAGAATGTTTGTAATATGTTAGTTTGATATGTATTTGTGGATTGTTGATTTGGTGAGATTCTGGATTGTTACTTTGCTTTTAATATGTTAGTTTGGTGTATTTGGGGAATATTAGTTTGTAATTTAGATTTTGAAATTGCTTCATACACGCTTTTGATAAAAAAAATTTATTAGATTTGTTAATTTATGTATATATTAGGCTCCATATGGTATTATTAAATTTACTTATAGTTAAAAAACAAGGTAAAATTTTTAGTGAGCTTAACGAGCAATGAGTCGAGTTTGACGAGCTTAACGAGCATGAGTTGAGCAACAATTTTTATTAACGAGCACGAGTCGAGCACATTTTTAACGAGCTTAACGAGCAACGAGTCGAGTCTAGCAACAAAATTTTTTAACGAGCACGAGTCGAGCACTGCCTAACTCGCGATCGACTTGCTCGATAAGCACCCCTAGTTACAAATAACACTGATGATGTTGACGGAAAAAAAAAGAAAGGTAAATATTATGGGTAAAGTACACAAAAATAGTCCCTCGACTATAAGGTGATCCTTTGTTGAGTCTCTCGACTATTAAAAGTTACAAACGGTCTTTCGACTACAGGGTGTTGTTTTGTTGAGTCCCCGACTATTAAAAGTTACAAAATGGTCACCCGACTATTTAGTATGTTTCAAACTCGTCCGTTTCCGTTAAAAGATTGACAACAATCTGAGCTAGATGTTAATCTGTTGACCAAGATATGGCAATTATTTTAGATTCTAAGATCAAATTTTACCATATTTCAATCATTAGGTTAATATCCAGTTCAGACTGCCGTCAAATTTTTAACAAAAAAAAAGACGAGTTTGGAACATACAAAATAGTTAGATGACCGTTTTATAACTTTTAATTGTCGGGGACTCAACAAAGCAATACCCTATAGTTGAAGGATTATTTTGTAACTTTTAATAGTCAAGGGACTCAACAAAACATCAACCTATAATCGTGGGATCATTTGTATACTTTACCCAAAAATTATATAATTAGTTTCCATTATGAGCATTAATTTATGGAGCTTATTTATCAGTTATCACTGTCAAAGCTGCAGGCTCCTATCCTATTTTCTCTTTTCTAGTTTGAGATACTGCTACAGCCTAGTTTGTTCTTACTACTGTTTTTCACTTTGGATTTAGATTTCGTCGAGGAAACATCCCTAATTATCACTCTCCACCAACTGTGACGGCTCCTATATTTAGAGTATTCAAAACAGTTTGATGCCCACGCAAGAAACAGATTTCTTGATGCTGATATATATAGTGTGGTCTTTTCATAGTCTCCTTTCCACTGTTGGCTCGATCTCTGTCACTGTTTTCTGATAGTTGAAAACAAATATTTACTTTGGAACACGTTCAAATGGATGATAGTTTATACGAGTTGTTCGAAGAAGCTGAATTTGGACCCGGCGGAGATGATGACCTCTTTTCTTTTTTCGAGAGTTTTGATGGTAACCCGGAATTTCCACCCTTCCCTCCATTGGGAGAAACGGCCGTCGCTCGCTGCCCGAAAGACGGTGAAGAAACTACGATGTCGGTGACCCCAAAGGACTCGTCGGAGCCTGAGCATGAACCCAAAAGCAAGAAGCCGAAGCTTGCTTCTTCTGAGGAAACAGACGCAGATGGGCAACAAAGAATGTCTCATATCACGGTTGAACGCAACAGGAGGAAGCAAATGAACGAGCATTTATCGGTTCTCAGATCGTTGATGCCTTGCTTCTATGTGAAAAGAGTAAGCCACTTTGTCTTCATCAACTACTTGTCTTATTATTTTAACCCTTTAATTTATTATATATGTTTGTATTGAATTATTTGTTAGGGCGATCAAGCATCGATTATCGGGGGTGTTGTGGATTACATCAACGAGTTGCAGCAAGTTCTTCAATCCCTCCAGGCCAAGAAGAAAAGGAAAGTTATCAACGAAGTGTTAAGCCCTAGGGTAGTTTCAAGTCCAAGACCCTCCCCTCTTAGCCCTCGGAAACCACCATTAAGTCCAAGGATTAACTTGCCGATTAGCCCAAGAACCCCTCAACCAGGTAGCCCTTACAAGCCACGGTTGCACCAAGGTTACCGCTCTCCAGCCATGACCACTACTCTCGAACCCTCCCCTTCTTCTTCAACTTCCTCCGTAGAGAATGTTAACGAGCTCGTTGCAAAATCAAAGTCCCCCATTGCGAATGTGGAAGTGAAGTTTTCAGGCCCAAATCTTATTCTAAAGACGGTATCTCCTCCGATTCCTGGTCAGGCTGTGAAGATAATATCCGCTCTTGAAGACCTCTCAATGGAAATCCTCAATGTCAACATTAATACCATTGATGATACCGTGCTTAATTCCTTCACCATCAAGGTAAAACTTTACCACTTCTGGTTAGTTCTAGTGATTAGTATAGTAAATTTTCATTCTGCAATGGTGTTTTCTAAAAGTTGGTAACTTTCGTTTTCAATATTTTAGCTCCTTATAAGGGCATAGTCATGCATGTTCGAGTACTGTGTGTTTGTCGCTACCGCCTCCTGGTTTTGTTGTTTTTCTCTTTACTGCACTTCATCGGGACCTAATAAACCAGGCCATGTTTGATTTCGAATGATTCCTTTCATCATTGAAAAAGAGCATTAGGAGTTAATAACAGCAGGATCCACAGTAAAATTGCATTGGTCCAGGGTAGAAAGAAAATTAAGAGAGAAAAATCAATGATTTTAACGTAATAATTCAAAGGGAATCAGTGCAGACTGGCGTTGGTGTACTAGCAACGGTACTGACAGTAAAAAGATCAGTTACCACAAATCTTGAAAAACGAGATGGATCACTGAAAACTATGGTATCTTTTCAGTCATTTGCGAGAATCATGACATGACCATACGTGTCTTTGCATTTACTTTTTCCATTTTTGGTTTCACCGTGTTAAATTTACTGGGAGGATTATTTGTTTTGTGTTGAGATTTACTGAAACTGTAACTATTTTTGTTTTTTTGGATGAAACAGATTGGAATTGAATGCCAACTGAGTGCAGAAGAACTCGCACACCAAATCCAGCAAACATTCAGCTAATAAGCAGTCTTCCTCATAATATTTCTACTTTTGGTTTTAGAAAAAAAAATGGAGAATGGGAATCCATGGCAGTTATATATATATATATATATATATATATGACATGCGTTTACCAGCTCCATTTCTATTAACAAAGTAATGTAATTTTAGATCGGTGATCATGATGACTTGTATTGCATTAGCTAGTGGATAACACCCTTGTAATTTTGTGTCTAAAAGCTTAATTAGTCTGCATGTATGGACTTACCTTGTCCATTTCTTTAATTTAATTTATTCATTCTTGTCTAATCTAGTTGTTTAATTATTCTTGTCCAATTTTTTTTACCTAAATGTCACAAAAAACATAAAAAATAACCCTCGTTTGAGATTATTTTTGGATTGACACTTTCGTATCAAGTAGGGTAAAGATGCGCCACATGAAAAGTGATTTCCAGAAGACGTAGGAAGCGCATTATGATGATATATAAGTCGATCAAATTTTTTAAAGGTTGAACTAAAATGAAAGACAAAAAAGAGAAAAAAAATAAAAATATATATATAAATTTTATCCCAAAAAAAATACACGCGATGCATGTTGAAGACACATATTTATTTCAGTCAAACAACAATGATGACATGTAAGTATTAATCTTATCTTCAATCACTTAATTAATGCATTTTAAAAATGCTATACTTAAACACTAGAAAAAAAAACTCTTATATCTAAACAATGTAAGATCTGAGAAGCTTTTGGCTAAATATGTTGATTTTGAGGTGTCAAGTACATATCTTGGACTTGGTCAGACCAAGTCCTAAACTCTGTCAGTTGTTATCTTCTAAAATACTTGGGATCTCAGTATCAAAAATTGTATTTGACTGTTGAATTGACATAAGTCTGATTAAGTTAGGATTTGTCTTTGAGAGTTCAAAAAGTAACATGTTTAACTATGAGCTTCTCAAACCTCATATTATGTAGATATGATGTTTTTTAAATGTTTAAATACAACTAATGGTGCTTAATGAGTTGAGCAACTCGACTCGGTCAAAGTTCAATAAAACTCGACTCGAGACCTTAACGAGTTGAGTCGAGCAAGATCCAACTTGACTTGATAAGTTCGCGAGCAGCTCGTTAATTTTTATATAATTTTTTAGTAGTTATCTTAAAAAATTGTTTCATTAAAAAAATTGTTTCATTAAAAAAATTGCTAATTGACTAATAGATAGTAAAAAAAATGATAAATTGCTAATCTATTAATTTTCTAATAAACAAAAAATACTAAATTATTAATTAATATTTTACTACACTCAAAAATCAAACCCTATTTTTTATTTTAATATATTTGTGGATTGTTACTTTTGAATTTAGACTTTGAAATTACTTCATACACTCTTTTGATAATTTTTTTGTTTAATTTATTAATTTATGTTTATATTAAGCTCTATATAGTATTAGTAAATTTTACCTATAGTTAAAAAAATAAGGTAAAAATTTCGGTGAACTTCATGAGCATCGAGTCGAGAAACAAGTTTTTTTAATGAGCACGAGTTGAGCACAATTTTAACGAGCAATGAGTCGAGTTGAGCAACAAAACTTTTTAACGAGCACGAGTCGAGCACTGCCCAACTCGCGATTAACTCGCTCGATAAGCACCCCTAAATAAAACATTTTAAACATATCCTTATTTAGTGATTGAATATAAGGTTAATACATAAGTGTCATTGTCGTCGCGAACTCCTACAAATACATGTCTTTTATACATACTGCACACGTTTATTCTTTTTAGATAAAATTTAAATAAATTTTCATATTTTTACCCTCCTTTTTAAAATGGATATCAATCCGAAAAATAATCTTTTTCGTTATTAATTTTTCTTGTTGACATTCGGATAAAAAAAAAGCCCTAACTAAATGATTAATTGATTAAAATTATTAGTTTTTAACCAACTTTCCTGATCCATTGAGTATCGATAATTGTAGTTATGTTTACTAAACAAACATTATTCATTACGAAGTAGTGTAGTTTCATTTTATATCTTTTATCGTAGATGATCTTCCTGCATGCATGCAAATAACAATATCTCCATATGGGGTAATCTCATGTTATAATTTTGTCTCCAACACAGAATTAGATACTTCAAATATCATTTCCAAAAGAAATAAAATATAAAAGAATATAGCCGAGATGTTAAAAAATGGTCCCATGCATGCAAACTTAAACAAGAATGATCTGTAGCAGAGTCAATTTTTTGCATGAATGCTTCAATGAGGCTTAAAATGTACCACTTCAATTTTTCAAAAAGAAGGAATTCATGAGATTTTATTGTGGTTTGGACCACCCGATAAAACCAGTTTCTCAGTATGTCCATTTCTAAAGAGGAATTATAGTTTTGTGTCCAATTGGAATGGGCTCATCACACTGTGTTCTTGAGCCTAAGCTTTTAAATTTCTCTACTTGTGGGCTTAATTAATAAAAGGGTAAACTACATCATATATCACTAAACTTTTAATTTTACCAATTATAGCATAAAATTCGATTTTCATTTCAATTATACCACTGGATTGTTAAATCATTAACTGTCAGATCAAAGCGACTTCGTTTTGGTAAGGTGTCTACGTCAATAGTCGTCGACAATCGTCATCTACGTCATTATATCGTTGATGATTTAATAATTTACTGGTATAATTGAAACAAAAATAAACTTCAATGTTATAATTGATAAAATTAAAAAATCAATAATACAACGCTTAAAATTTGGTAGTATCTGATATACCCTTAATAAAAACTGCCTCACCTTGGGTTCTATTTGGACAAAAGATTAGCCAATTTTCATCCACCCGTATATATTATTATTATTATTATTAATTACAATAATAATAAAATACAAAAGAAAAATAAAATTTCAAACAAGGAAAAAGGGACAAAATCCATCAATATCCGAGGCACTTACTGCCCGATTACTGTTGCCACCTCTACCCCGCTGCCATCTACTGCTCCTGCGCAAGGCGGTTAACCGGCCGGCCCCATGACAGCACCAAATTAGCAACCATGCAAAAAAAATGAAAAGGAACGTGTTTTCCTTCTTTTTTTAGATTGTAAACAGGTGCTATAAAACCAAAACAAACAAATGTAAAAGGGCTCCCCAGATTCTTCAGAAATGATTGATAAGAGAGGCTCATTTTTTCCCTTTTCTCTCGAATAAGAGCTTTGTAACGGGGTCTTTTTTTTCCCTGATTCAAAAATACTGGGCAATGTAAAAGATCTCTCCCATTTTTTCTCTTGAAAGAAACTTTGTAACAGAGGGTTCTTCCCCTTTAAAAAGATCAGAAGCAATATACCCAAAAAATCTTTCAAGAAGGTATTCTCGTTTCTAACAGTGGTTTCTTTCTTTTATTTTCAAACAAAAAAATAAAGAGGGAAAAGGGTTTTATTACCTCATTCGTTCGAGGTTCCACCAGAGTTTAGGTCGTCGTCTTGAGGTCATCGGATCTCGTCGTCGGAATTGGGGAGTCGAGGGGTCGAATGTCGTTTGTATAGTTTTGGGGTTTTGTTTATTATTTCCAATCTTATATCAAGAGTTTAGAGGAGAAATCGATGCATTTTTGTTACTGTAGTAGAGTTTCTGGGTTTCCCGACCACCATTGGTGGTGGTCGGCGGGGAGAGCTACTTCGATGAGAGGCTATTGAATGAATGCTTGGGAGTTGGGAGCTTGCTGCAGCGTGTGAGAGATTGGGTTGAGAGAGAACAAATTGAAAAAAGCTTTTTAGGTTCTTAGAAACTTATCTGATTTGGGAAAGAAATGGTTTAAGTACATAGACTTTAGGGATAGATCCCTTTAGGTCCCTTGACTTTTGGCGCATATTTACATATTAGTCATCTCTGTTCTTTTTTAATTTTATTTCGAATTGGATGCCCTATTTTGCAATTTTCCGTTTTGTTCTATTTTATTACAGTTTTTTTTAGGGTAAACTACGTCAAAAACCACTCATCTTTAAGCTCGGGCTCGAAAATGCCACTGACGTTTCAATTTTTCTAATTTTAGCACGGACGTTTATATTTCACTGCAATTTTGTCACTCTGCCGTTAATCTGTTAACGGGATGATGACATTGCATCTTTGTTCTGTGACGGCGATGACATGGCTCCCTCATCAAAACGATATCGTTTTGGCACGATTGTTTTGATGCTCAAAAATCTCAAAACGACGTCATTTTGTTGGTGAAAAAAAATTTTTCATGGGACTCGAACCGCAAACCTTTAGAATCCAAAACTAAATACCCAACCACCAAGTTAACTTAAGAACCTGGTATAATCTTAACAAAACTATTATAAATAAGTAATGTCACTTGAACACAATTAGAACGCAACTGTAATGCAACTGTAATGCAATTGGATTGGGAACCAGGACTCATCGACAAACCTAGGGACTGCAAGTCTCCACAATCCATTAGACAGACGGAGCCGGAAGCTGCTCCATCATTGACCATGCTACTAGTCATTTGTTGTTCAATTGAACCACGGGTAGAGAAGTGAGAAGCTACCCAGTTTTTAAAATAAGGCATTGTTTTCTCCTAATTGAGGAATCTGGGAATCACAGTCTGCAAGTTGGGTATCCTTGGTTTCCTCCTCCAATATCGAATGAAACATGGCCTGGCAGGCAAGTCCTAAAAAGTAGTGGTGAGTTTGAACAAAAAAACTCTTGTTCTTGCTCTCTAAAGGGTTCTTGGAGAAGGTCTAGAGAATACTGCCAGTTGTGTTCCTGATTCGCATCTTGGTGGTAGTACATGAAGTCTAAGCTGAGTGGCATTGTTTCTCGTTGGTGACTTCCATATTGATAAGGGTCCATAATTGCACCACCCAGAAAGTCCTCCAGTTTTGGAGATGAAGTAAGCACAATCCCTTCAAACAAAACAAGCATTGAATAATACAAGTGTTAGGACAAATAAGAATATCAAGAAAACTTGGGGAAATTTTGTTTATGAGGGAACCTTCTGACTATGATCTATTGCAGAGAGCTTCCATGATGCATAAAGAGCCATCTGACTTAAGAGGCATAACAGACAA